ATATTTTCATATATACATTGGACGCCTAGTTATACCGAGGATTTTTTAAAGCGGCTCACTCAACTTCTGATATGTTTTTACTTTATTTGATAGAAAATTAGAGTTCCATGGCTGCGATAAAACCACTAATTTTTAATCAAGGAGTCTTGGAAAAATATATTTGATTGTCTAATGTTCTTCGTGACTTTTCCTCGCCGACTAGAATCTGCTAAAATCGTGTTTTTAATCATAACTCAATGTGGAAAGGCATATTTTTACGAATAATTTGGTACCACGTACTTGCTATCTAGTGTCAAATTTTCGTTCTGAACACAGCCTTGACACTCTAGATTGAAATTTAAATTTTGTCTAGAGAAATCATTTAAAACCATTTTCAAAACTGTGGGATTCTTTTTCACCGATTTCTCTAATTTGACTGGGCTAATTAACCATTTTGGAACATGCCAAAATTTTTATGAAGTTTTTCTCACAATGCCAATAATACAAAAAGTTTTTCCTCTTGTAAAGACAAACTGGGGTCATACTGTATATAGATATATGTCTCCCATTCTATCAAAAAATATCGGTTTTGGACTGGCATTATTGTTACCTATTAATATAACGTTAAGTAACTTTACATAAAAAATTGGCCTGTTATATGGTTTGCTCACCCAACTCGACCGGATTTACAATGACAAGCCCATAATGCACGACCCATTTTTTATCCAACCGGATTAAATCTACCCAACCGAATTGGACTGTGTATAGCCGGGTTTAAAATGAACTGCAACAAAGTTTTCGGCAAAAAAATAAAAAACGTTTATGTTTTAAAGGATTTATTTTGTTCCCGTAGTCGGAAGTTAAGTTGGTGAAGTTTCCAAAATAAACCGCAGGCCATAATACTATGAATCATCAATTGTCAGTGAAACGTGTTAACCTGCTAACACCATTTTTCATTTTAGTTAAATAATACGTTTAAAACATAATTTTTACGTTAAATTTTGAATGAGATATTGAGTTTTATTGTTCCCTTACAAATATTATTATTATCTCTTTAGCATATTAACGCATGAATATACTTGCTACATGTGTAAATCTTTTTTGTACCGTTTCTTTTCTCTCCTCTAAAATTAGGAATAATGGAGTTAGCAATTTATCACATTTCACCGACGCAATGTTACTCTTTATTAAGTAAATAAAATAGTCATCTTATTAGGAAATATATTATTCCAACTAATTAACTTGTTTATTGTCCCCACTCAGCGCTTGAATTATAAAAACTCAACAATCATTTTTCAAACCTATCTTTTAATCATTATGGTAAAGTAATACTGGCTTTGCGTGAGATGTGTGCATGATTATATTTAGCCCAGCTTTGTATACAGGGCTGTTCACCACATACGACACGGAGTATTGTAGCTAAACGATGAGATTTTTACAAATTGTAAGTTTGGGGTTCGTTGAAGGACTATTAGAGCTACAATTTAAAACTATTTTTACGAGATACAGAGTGTCCCAAATAAATAAAAAATATCAAAGTTGTATTTTTTTAAATGGAACACCCTGTATATTATTACATTTTTAGTTTCTACGATTAAAATAAAAGTAAATTTGATTAAGGTTTATTATACTTAAACCTTACCGTTTTTGAAATATTTTCAATTTTGTGAAATTTTAGTCATAGTTTATATTTCAATGTATATAATTAAATTGATATGTATTTAAATTTTATTGCAAATATTAAAAATGTAAGTATGTAGAAAAGCAGGATAATGGCATTACTCTTGGCCAAGCGTAATCAAATTCTTCAAATAACATAATCTTTGCAGAACCCCTGTGCCTGAACATGATGGCCGAATATCTTAATCGGACATACGCACACTTTCCTGTTTATTTTTCTTGGAGTCGAATGACACTTATCGGTATTTTGACACCCGCTGCGTGCGAAGTGTGAGTCACGACCACTGCTGCCGTTCTAGAGATTAAGGTCTTGTCTAAACATCGACCAGATGAGGGAAAACGAATTTGTTATTCTTGGGGAACCGCAGTTTGAAATTAGGCCTTACTTGCATTATACAAGCCACTACAGATTGCTCTAAAAGTGGTTGATGCATTTAAAGTTTTATATTTTCGTCACCCATAAACTTTTAAATTTTGCTAAAATATTATTATAATTATTGCAAAATTTATAGAATAATCAGAAGAAAAAAAACTTTAGTTATAGCTTTTTAGGAATTACTTACACCGACCGGCACGAAAAACGAACACCTTAAATTTTTTATGTATTTTAAAGTTTGGTATATTGTGTTGTAGAGAACCGATTTTGATGATTTTTTAAGCAATTTGTAGTTAAATTATTTGACTTTTTAGTATCTTTTTCTAAATTAAAAACGAAAGTTGCCAAAGTTGCCATCTGTCATCACTTTTGCTTCCTCTGGAGCAAGTTCTTCGTGGAGCAGTCGGAGGTATCTCCGTGCTTCTGCTCCTCTAAGACCTACTCTCAGAGGATAGTCTAGCCTGCCTGGTTGACCCAGGCCGGGTAGACGAAACGGTAGCTTATGTCGCTTATTGATTGGGTCTAGAGGTAGGCTCCCGAACCTTGCTGGAGAAGGTGGTAGCTTGTGTGCCACTTGTGGAGGATGATCCCAAGCAAGTGTCAGCCGCCCCTCCTGTAGTTTCCTTTGGATTTGGTTTTGTTTGTTTGTTGTCGGGCATAGTGACGAGCGAGACTGGTCTTGGTCTTGCGGTCCTGGTCTTGTCTTGCACAAAAGGCACGACAAAGACCAAGACTAGCATTAGACCTGCAAGACCAAGACAAAGACCGACCAGTGTCAAGACTGACGCAAGACCGAGACCCAGCTTGCAAGACTCTTGCGATCTTACAGTCTTGCAATTTTTTCATGATTTTTATTCACATTTTCAAACTACCCTCGTATATATTTATCACCCAAGTTTTTCTCTTATTTCTTTTCCACCAGATACAAAACCGTAAAAGTTTCTGAAACAGATAAGCCCCCCTAATGTCTGCAGTTTCGCTTATTATTTTTACATTTTCGGGCCTCCTCTAGGACAAAGCTTAATTAGTGTGAAAAGAGATAGCGAGCGTGTGCGTGTGTGCGGCAAATGTAGCAGAAAGCTTTGAAATGTTATAGAAGTTGCGCCCGCCCCTATTCACTCGGCTGAATTATTCAATGGACTGTCACTTATTCGGCGTTTCCCTCGTTGCACCCGCTCTATTGCTTCCAAGAAATGTGGGCGGATTTCCTGTAGGTTTAGTCGGTTCGTATTGTCGCGGTTGGAAACCTATGGTAAATGCCAATAAAAGTAATAAATAAGCAATAAAAAAGCCGAAATATATTTTTTATAACCATTATGTCTATGTAAAATGTAGAATGTATGGGAGGAGGATTAATCACCACGACCTTACTATTGTCTCCCCCTTTCTTGAGTTATAGCTCACCATACTCAATGCCCAAAAGTCAGTATCTGAGACGGTTTTACAGAGGTTAATTATCCATCACCGATGTCAGTCGTACTAGAGTTTTTGGCTCGATTGGTTATCGTCTCTGTGCACTCACTAATGAGGTTTTCTAGTGTTTCCCCATTTTGCCCACAGAATCTTCATTTGCCGTTGTTTCTCAGCTTCAGTCTAGTGAGATGTTCCTTGATGAGACAGTGTCTTGTTAAAAACCCATGACAATACGAAGATTAAATAATAAATAAATCTAGGAAAATATTAGCCATTATCGCGGAGACAAAGGACGATATGCAGAGACAGTTTCATAAATTCTATCAAGTAAGCCGATAATTAAATATGATTATCTCTACAGAAAAAAAAACTAAATGCTTAACTTTCTCTAAAGAGTCGGTAAGACGCAAACTGGTAGTAGGAAACAAAATTATTGAGCAAGTATCACAGTTCAGATACCTAGGAATAGATATGTCGTATTACCATGATCCAGAGAAAGATCCAGTGAAGCCAGATAAACAGAGCAACGGCCATATCAGGATGACTGGGGCAGATAGTTTGGACAAACCCCTTTATGCGAACAGACAGCCAAGTTAATTTAAATTTATAAGACCTGCATCAGACCAATAATGACATATGGCATAGAAATCCGAGATGAAGAACCTAAGAACCATAATGGGGACTAGAAGAGACAGAATTAGAAACACAAATATCAGACAACAATGTGGAATACAGGACGTAGTGAGATGGGGTAGGTAAAGAAAAAGACAATGGTTCGCACATGTAAAAGCCATGGAAGAAAACAGGCTACCACGTATAGCTCGTGAAAGGAAACCCATGAGTAAGAGACAGCCGGGAAAACCACCAAAAAGATGGAAAGACAGTTGGCAGTCCATCTCCCAAGAAACGAGAAGAAGGAGAATATTTGATTTTTCTCGATCGTAAGTTCAGAGAAATTACTTCGATTATCTTAGACCGTTGGTGGATTTCCATTCTAGGTTACGGGTGGAGTCTTCGGTTCTTGTCGTTTTCAAGTTGGTTTCCACTTGGGAAGCAGAACGGTTCTGGTCCGGTTAGTGAAGTGTTCGCCCCTTCTCTATAAATCGTTTGATCTTCATTGCCTGGCTAGCACCCAGAGTAGGAGGATTTTATTTTCTTTGCCTAATTTGTTCAGCTTCTCTCAGCATTCTTTGACCAACTTCGAATTGATGGTTACTGAGTTGATCGCTTGTAATGCTGCTTGACTATTGGATAAGATGGCTTTTTCTCGTTTCCGATAGTTCCTATCTAAGATAAGTTGTACGCATCTTTCGATAGCGCACATTTCTTTAAAGTCTCATTCGCATTAAATTACATAAAAAGAGTGCATAAAATTTCTTAGAAAGTGCCTTTAGTTAAAATTTATTTGAGGTGCAAGACTTGCAAGAGAATAAGTTGTTTGTATCTATATTTCTATACATCTTTATTCATTAAATTAAATTAATTTAGTAACTTTGTAATTAATTAAGGACATGGACTAAATGTCTCTAAATTATTTATATATTCTTTACAGAATCGTTGCCAACAATATCAAAGCACCATTGCTCGATTGAATCTAGAAATCACTAGCTTGCGTCAACAACTTGATGAGAGCGGTCGAGACCATAATCCTGAGGGAATTCTTCAAGCTCACACTGCCGCATTAAAACGACACGCTGAAGAATCTAGAAAACAATACGAACGATGCCTAGATGATGTGGCCAATCAGGTCGTAAAAGCTCTACTTGCACAAAAGGTTTGTTAACATTAAGATTGCATTTTGTTTTATATTAATATTTGCTATTATCTGCTTCAGGGCTTACGAGAAGAAGTTGGAAGCCTAAACGGTAAAATACACGAATTAGAGTCGCAGAACCAAGCACTCACGTCCATGTTGGTACACCAACTACGAGGGGAAAATCCTGGATCTCCAGGGGATCTGGATTCATTTCCCAAGCAGATCGCATTCAATTGTCACGATAAAAGTATTTAAGTAATATTAAATAATTTTAAAAATACTAATACAATTTTTGTTAAAGGTCAAGATCAACAATCACCAGAGATATCTCCTTCTCTTTTACTTACAACCAGTTTAACTACAAAACATTGTAATTCTTTTAATTCCGAAATTCTGGAAGACAGTGCCAATAACGATCAATGCGAGTATTCTGTTCCTGAGGTAGATAAAAGACTATCAGCAGATAGTGTAGATGTCTTAGGTATGTTACTAAATATAAATAAGATTACAACATTTGATGTTACAATAAAAAAATATTACACAAATCTACTTTAATAAACTAACACTTATTCAAGCTCTTGGTAGTTTCATGTTAGCAGCATCAGCTAAGGATATTGTCGCGACCTAGGTTGGGGGTTGTTCACTAGTATCGCTAGACCAGGTTCTCTCTTCTGATTAAAACAGCTATTATAAAAATATACATTTATTAAATAAAAATGCACAGTTTGAATAAAAATATCAGGATAACAATTTCAGGAAATGCCAAGACTTGCTAAGGATATGCTGAAAGGAGTACTTACAGGAACATCTTCAACATCTTCACTGTCTTCTGACTAACCATTTGACTATCAACTCACTATGAACTGACTAATCCCTTGACTGTCTTCAGCATACTCTTTTATATTTGTCTGCTCGTCCCAATCATCGGCAGATGCGTTTTGACATATCCCCGGGCTTGGAGAGCTGGTCCCCAGCGATAAAAAAATCATATGCGACTTAAATATAGGCCAACTTGGGTTTATATCAATTAGGGAAAAATCATATTTTAATAAGCCGATTTGATGTAGACCCAAGGAAATCGTTCACGTATACGTCGACCTAGACATGTTCTTATAGTAAACATTATTAATTAAAACAATTAAGTCAGGTCGATGTAGCGTAATGTTTCAAGGCAAGCTCGTACTAAACATCGGTGATGAAAATATACAAAGAAAACTTTTTATGACGCAGCCGCCGATGATTGGGACGAGCGGACAAATTTAAAAGAGTATGCTGAAGACAGTCAAGGGGTTAGTCAGTTAGTTCAGTCATCGTTAGTTCATAGTGAGTTGATAATCAAATGGTTAGTCAGAAGATAGTGAAGACGTTGAAGATGTTCCTGTAAGTACTCCTTTCAGCATACTCTTTTTATATTCCTCTATTCCTCGTAGTCATCGCCGGTTACGTCGTCAAAATAAAAAAAAAAATAGTTTAAAATCTAATTACACTAACCCGGCTATAACCATGAGGAAATCAAACTTCGGTAACCTGCGTTTGATTATCGGCCTGACATTGTTATATTTTAATATTGTTTAATTATTAATGTTATTTAATAACATATCTAGGTCGCTGGCATACAGGTAACCGATCTCTTGGGCCTACATCAAATTAGTTTACTAGAATTATATTTTACATTATTTTTCCCAATTTGATGTAAACCCAAGTTGACATCTATTTAAGTCTTTACAATATAACTAAGCTTTAGTTATCAACAGTGTATATCCAGATTTTTTACAAGTTTTTTGTGGTATTGTGATAGATTTGTGTAATTTTTGAAGTGTAAAATAATTATCTGCTCTACAAAAATTATATTGCTGATAGATACAGGACTATCGTTAGAGGATAAAAAGCGACATCAAGTATTAACTAAACTTTGGACAGAACTGAAAGGCACCGAAGTTACACCTAAAAAACTATTAGAAGCTCTAAGTGCTATTGATCCAGCCCTCTGGGTGCCACCAAAGCGGCCTGTTTCTCTGAATCTTCATTTGCCTATTTTGCCAACTACGAAAATTAGGAGAACTCGACCAGTATTAGGTAGTAATATATATTTCCTTTTATTTTGAGATTTTAATAACTTTAATTCTTAAAGCTCAAAGTAATTCAAAGAGTGAAGAGGAAACTACCGGAAACGAATCGCCGGAAAGTGGAAACAGAGACGAAGGTTACTCGACAATGTCCTCGGATGTTCAAGCCGATGTTACAAGAGCTTCAAACGATGCCACACTGCCTCACAGAAGTCTAGAAGATCTTAAAGAAGCCAGTGATGAAACAGATTTATCTGCAGACAATAGATTTCTAACTACTGATAATAAAGACCCAGATATACTTTACATTCCTTTAAATCTAATAAATGTAAAACAAAGGTAAGTAATTACTTACGAGAGTATTACAATAATAATTCATTTTGCTACTTTTTTAGAAACAGTTTTCCGCCTGGAAAAGATATGCTGCCGTTCCAACACATCATGAGGAGCTTTTCCGATTCCCATCTCTGTATAAAAATAACAACAGCTCCTACTCCATGTTATTCATTTACATCCCCAATTTCAAGCAGTCCATCAATTTTCCTACTAGATATTACAGATAAAGCCCGCAATCCTCTAAGAAGAGCCAGAGGAACCAGCACATTATTAGGTGAGGATATATATGTATACTTGTTGCATGAATACACAGTTCAACAAATAAATTGCATGCTATTTTTTGATGTAAACTATTTTTGATTTAGTTTATTCAAGGAGGTCTATTTCTTGAGTACAAAAATAGTATTTTAAGAAGAAAATATTATATCAATATAGTGTTATAAATGGAAGGGCGTTATCCGGCATTCAATTCTCGTTAGTCGTAATAGTATCGTACATTATGCAATGTACCAAATTTGGTTTATACATAGTGGCGCCTTTCATACGACGCGGAGGCTCCAAGGAGAACGACAGTTTGTATTGAAATGAAATTTTGTGTGCATACCTATGTACGTTAGTTTAGAGCATTTTCTAAAATTATAGTGAGTTCTACGGGGTGTCCAAAAAAAGTTACATATCAAGTTGTGTTATATTAGTTGATTTTCGGATTGTAGGAGAAAAATAAAGGCGAGTTTCATTAGAGAAGTATATGGATAAAATGCAAGGTTTTGGACATATTTAATATTTTCTAAAAATGAAGAATAAATTTTAAATTTTAATAAAAGCTACCTAAATTTCCTAATATGTAGTTAAAATAACAATTATTGTACTCTAAATGAAATTAAAACTTGATAACCGAGCATAACCTAACCAAAAAGTTATACAGGGTGAGACAAAATTAATATTGAACATTGGTCACATTTAAGAGCAAGTCAGTCATTTATTTTAAATGGAACGCCCAGTATATTATTCCGATATTCAATGGGGAATCTCTTCAAAATACTATTAAGGTTGCCTACCCACCAAACAAAGATTTTCCTAGATATTTTCATTTTTATGATTTAGATTTATCAAATAATAAAGATCTACTGACGCAAAATTATTTTTAATAAAAGCTACCTAAATTTCCTAATATGTAGTTAAAATAACAATTATTGTACTCTAAATGAAATTAAAACTTGATAACCGAACATAACCTAACCAAAAAGTTATACAGGGTGAGACAAAATTTAGTCATTTATTTTAAATGGAACGCCCAGTATATTATTCCGATATTCAATGGGGAATCTCTTCAAAATACTATTAAGGTTGCCTACCCACCAAACAAAGATTTTCCTAGATATTTTCATTTTTATGATTTAGATTTATCAAATAATAAAGATCTACTGACGCAAAATTATAAAAATGAAAATATCTAGAAAAATCGTTGTTTAAAGGGTAGGCAACCTTAAACTATTAAGGTTTGGTTGCAGTTAAAATACTAATTTTAAAGATATATGAGTTCTCCATTGAGTATTGAAATAATATACCGGGTGTTCTATTTAATATAAAGGAGTAACTTGCTTTTAAATGTAACCAGTGTTCAATATGGATTTTGTCTCAACTTTTCGGGTCAAATTTTAATTTGATACAAAATTAATTTAAGTACAATAGATATTTAACTACATAATACGCTATACCGGATAAATTATAATTTAGGTACGATTTATTGTAATTTAAAAATTTGTTTGGTTTGGTTTGATTATACTTCTCTAATGAGATTCATCCTAATTTTTCTCATAGAATCTAAAAATCAATTAATATATAGGGTGTTCTGTTACAAAAAAACACAACTACTTTGATGTGTAATTTCTTTTAGGGGATACCCTGTAGAACTCTCTATATTTGTAAAATATACTCTTAATCAACCTACATATCACAAAATTTAATTTCAATACAAGCTGTAGTTTGCCTTGCAGCCTCCACGTCGTATGAGAGGCGCCACCCTGTATATCCCCAAAGACTGGGTTCCATATTCTAAAATTAACTGATAATTTCTAAAACTATCAACTCAGTGTAATTTTAAAAATTAAATTCCATTAGTTTTCCATTCTTTAAAATATTTTTCAATAAACTATTTAAGTTCCACTACAAAAAATATCACACTGTATCTTTGGTTGTCAAATATGACGATCAGAATGACACATTATTTTGTACACAAATAAATTTTGTGTATAATTTAAAAAAATCACACTGTTTCCACATCACTTAAACCTTCACGTTATGCTCTCAGTCGACACAATTTTGCAGCCTCCACTCTCCGCTTAGACGATATTTCTGTGTGCAATAACAAACTGAAAATTCTACCATTTAATAAGGTTTATGTCAACAGTCTGCGTTTTAGGAAATTCCAATGCAGATCTCAACGAGGACAAAATGTCTCAGCTCTCCTGGAGTAGTGCGGCCGAAGAAAAACTGGAATGCGCAACATGGGACGCGGAATACATTCAACATTGGTTACGACTAGACGAAACGCGTTCCACGTTGCAACAACATCGAGATATGCTCGAGTTGGAATACGACCGAGCCGAATTGGAGGACTGGAGTCTAAGCTTGTCCAACGACGACTTAAGAGAACAGTGGAAGAAATTGGATGCTGCTACACCAGGTAATTATACTAATAGATGAGATAGTAGACTTTATTCATTAATGGCTGCGTATCTTACCTCCTGCGTCTCTACCTCCCAAAGGTTGCGATCCCCCGTTACCACTGAATTCTATAATGATTGCAATCTGCATGCATTAGACAGCTTATTTATATAGGGTGTCCCACAATTAGTGCGACAAACTGAAAGGGGTTGTAAAGGGCATCAAAAGACATCATTTGAGTATATAGTAAACGCCACGAATGTTTGGGAGTGAGTCATCGGTCGCTACCTTTGAATAAGAAGACTAAGCAAGGAGCATATTGTCGCGACCCCGTTTTAGAGGGTTGCGGCTAGGGACGTTTTAGGTATCGAAGATCATTAAAACAATCAATATATATAAAAACAAAATATAAATTTATTAAAGAATTAAATACATTAATTTAGGTAGGAGAAATGTCAAGCAGACCCTCTAAACCGGGGTCGCGACAATATCAAAAATCTTAGGTCCACCGCGATGGGCCTCAAATATGGCCGACTTAAATTCCGGTTTATCAGTGCCGTTCTGATTTTATTTAAAAAATGTAAAACTATGATGTAGGGTAGACGTGGAGTATATTTTTTATATATTTTTTTTTATTTCACGTTGTGAATAAATGTTGGTAGTTATTAAAATTGTTATAAAAATATAAAATTCTAATAAAAATAGATAAGTTATAATAATTATTTATAACCATAAACATCCGATACGCTACTGAACCAGGTAAGTAAAATTGACGTATCTAAATTCTTTGACATCTAATCTTTGACAAGTAGTAAATAAAAGCAAAAATGCAAGAAAAAATATATAATTAGTTAATTTAAGTGAATTTCATAAATGATCGGTTTACTACACGTATGTATATTATATAGTCACTTACTAGCGAAAAGTTCCATTATTTCACTCGATTTTTCCTGAGATCTACCGCACGCTACACAACCAACTATTTTAGAGTCTTTTTCGATAAATCGCGATAGTGTCACTGTTAATTTCAGTTCTGCCACAATTTCCATCTAGATTTACTAGGTACCTTTATACAACAATCAGTAGTAGAATAAATAATAAATAACATAAAATAAGCTCCGTAAAGACTGACAAATCCACAAAATTTCAAATCAAATTCAAATGTGTCAAATAAATGTGTAAAATGAATCGTCAAACAGAACTGTCAAGGATCCCCACCCTAGAGTGCTTTTTCCGCCCACCATGCATGAATACATGGATATAGTAAACGCCACGAATGTTTGGGAGTGATTTATCGGTCGCTACCATGTGAACTAATCTGTTCAAGGTCGCATAAAACTTAATTCCAGTGCCGTAGTGTTTCAAGTCATTATAATAATCAATATATAATCTGTTGTAATTTGTTGTTTTAACTGTCAAAGTCTTGTCAAAATATATATTTGGTTATAAATATAAAATGGAATGCCCCATTGGTCGCACTGCAAGCACACCAATGGACTGACGCACAAAAACGAATCAATCAAAGAAATGCGATATACTATCGTCTTTGTCAATCACGCTAACATTTTAGAATAAGTAGGAGGAGCGCAGGCAGATGATTAGACCGGACCTTTAAAAACCTACGTCTGCGGTAAAAATGTACGTATTTAATGTAAAAATGATAGCGCGCGTGTCAATTCTAACTTCATCAAGCGATGAATCACTCCCAAACATTCGTGGCGTTTACTATAGCATTATGTTCCTTCCTCAGTCTTCTTATTCAAAGGTCGCTACCATGTGAACTAATCTGTTCAAGGTTACATAAAACTTAATTCCAGTGCCGTGGTGTTTCAAGTCATATAATAATCAATATATAATCTGCTGTAATTTGTTGGTTTAACTGTCAAAGTCTTGTCAAAACATATATTTGGTTATAAATATAAACTGGAATGCCCCATTGGTCGCACTGCAAGCACACCAATGGACTGACGCACAAAAACGAATCAATCAAAGAAACGCGATATAGTATCGTCTTTGTCAATCACGCTAACATTTTAGAATTAGTAGGAGGAGCGCAGGCAGATGAATAGACCGGGCCTTTAAAAACCTTCGTCTGCGGTAAAAATTTACGTTTTTAATGTAAAAATGATAGCGAGCGTGTCGATTCTAACTTCATCAAGTGATGAATCACTCCCAAACATTCGTGGCGTTTACTATAGGAACCCATGTCCGGAAATATGCCGTTTTGGTAGGAGGTGGAGTGAAACGTAAATTTCAAGTTGCATTATTTATTCAAAACATTTACAAAAACTGCTCAAAGTGCCGTCCATTCTGTTGAAGACACAAATGCACACGCCTGGGCCCGAATTCTGTAACTTTGACATAAAAACGTTACGCTTTCAAAGCGGTGAGCGCAAGTATTCGATCAGCGAAACGCAAGGCAGTTGATTTTGGTATTCTCGTTGCCATGCGAATCGTATTCAGGATACGCGTTGAGCACATATTGGCAACATTACAATTTCTAATGTAGGTAATAGTCAAGTCGATAACTGACGGATGTAACAATGAAAAATGTCAATGTTACGTGAATTTCATAACCTATTGTTGAGTTATGTCAAGCTATTTATCTATGGATATGTCATTATTCTTATTATACGAGGGAAGTGTTGAAGACCCTTCTCAGCATTTTCCATGTTTTTAACAATATTTATAGCTGCCAAGTTGTAAATTATCAATTACTTATAGAGGAATTTATAGAAGAAGTAGTAATTTTCATTAAAGAGCAAGATAACGTACAAAATCACAATTTTTTCGATTTTCACTGACAGTTCGACAAGCAAAACGATCCTTTAAGGCAACCGTTTTCAAAGCGCTCAGCACAATCAGTAAAAACGCTAAGCGCGTCAGACGAGAATACCGAAATCATTAATTAAGTGCGCGCTCAGCGAAAATTAATGTCATATACGCTGAGCGTCTAAAAGCGCTTAGCGTTTTCAAAGTTACAGAATACGGGCCCTGGACGGCACTTCGAGCAATTTTTGTAAATGTTTTGAATAAATAATGCAACTTGTAATTTACGTTTCACTCCACCTGCTGCCAAAACGGCACGTTTCCGGACATGGGTTCCTATACTCAAATGACTTGTTTTGATGCCCTCTACAACCCCTTTCAGTTTGGCGCACTAATTGTGGGACACCCTGTATAAAAAGAAATCACCTCAAGATAACCAGGCCTGCGTTCACGTATTGGAGGTAGGTACACCCTGGACATAAATTTACACCGGTAACCGTTTTAAAGTAAAAGATATTTTTCGGGACAAATACATCCAAATCTAATTTTGTAATAGTAGGAAAAGGACAAACAAACTATATATTATGTCTAAGCAGATTGTTATTCTTGAGTTATCAACCGTATCAAATTATTCAAAGTATCAAACTAAACATTTTTTTTGAGTATACATCTTTATTTCGATACAGGGTGTTTTAAAAAACATGTGTCATCTTTCGTGGGGAGATTCCTCGCGTAAAAATAAGATTTATTTTTCATATTGACATAGGTCCAATTCTGCTTTGTTTGGTGGGTGGCAGGGTGTTAAAGTCTTAATAATCTGTCATAATTTATTTCCTTATAAACCTATTTCCTTCAAAGTACTTTTAATGATTTGAATGAAATTTTGAGTTACTATAAGTGCTACATATTATTATTTGAATGCTAAAAAAGTGTCGATAAATTCATAAGAGACGTGCATATGGGTTATCACTCCAATATTTTTCAAAAAAAAACATGTGCGCCACTTACTTTTTTCTTTTGATATCAAAATTGTGTAGGCCGTTTAATGCCAATTAAGAGTTATCTCTTGATATTTTGTATATATTATAAATTAAAATAAATTTTATATTTTGCCTAATTTATTATTAAATATTGTTACTATTAGTTATTATTACTATTAGTCCAACCTACAACAATTTTAAATAAAAATAATAATGGTATTTAAGATAATTACAAAAAACCTAATTTTAAAATGTTTTAACATGTTTATAGGAACTTTTTTTCATATTTTTTGATGAGGAATCAATGAGTACTTATTTAAAACTTTTGCAAGTTAATGATATTAATTTTTTTAAAGGTTGCTATTAGATTTGGATCAAAGCAAATTAATAAAATTGCTTTTATCTCATCAAGAAGGCCAAAATCGACAAAATATCAAGAGACAATTTTTAATCGGCATTAAACTGCTTACACTATTTCGCTAACAAAAGAAAAAAGGTTAGTGACGTACATGCTTTTTTTAGAAAAATATTCCAGTGATAACCCATATGCACGTCCCTGGTGAATATATGGACACTTTTTTAGGTTTAAAATATGTCGCATTTATAGTAACTTTTCCCCTCAAAATTTCATTCAAAGCGCTAAAAGTGCTTGGAAGAAAATTTTAATAAATCGAAAAAATATTAAGACTTTAACACCCTGTAGCTATGAAACAAAGCAGAATCGTACCTATGTTGATATGAAAAATAAATCTTATTTTTACGTGAGGAATCTCCCCACGAGAGATGGCACATGTTTTTTTTAAACACCCATACTTATACAGGGTGTCAAAAAAAATACTGTATCTAACTTTGGGGGGTGATTCTACAGATAAAAATAAAACAAAAAGTTCTTATGAACATACGCCTTAAAATGCTTCCCGAAGAAATTACAACTAGTGATGGGAAAAACCGATTAATTTCAATAATCGAGTACTCGAGTATCAAGCGATTGCCATAACCGAGTGATCACTCGAGCTAAATATCGCTCATATTTAAAAATACGGTTTTTTGTCCGTCGCATGTTGTAAGTACTCGTTAACACCAAGCGCCAAGCAGTAAGCTGCGTGCGCAGGGCACATATTTTTTCGATAATTAGCCCTACCAAGCAACTGTTAAGCCCGACCAATCACGTTAGAGTTTTTGACAAACACAAATGAATTAACACACTCCAAATAACCACGCTAACCAACCTGATTGGTCAAGCTTAATAGTTGACTGCTAGGACTAGACACTTCTATAAGCGGCGAGCGATTCGCTTGATCGCCTGATTTAGTTCATTTCGAAGCATTGTCGATGTAGGTCGTAAAATTTTGTCTCTCAGATACGCAACGGATAAATATACCGGGTGCGTCTCAAAAGTGGATCACCCCTATACCTTTTTTATTGTTTCAGATAAACAACGAGGTTTGGTATGTTAGTATATGACATAAATTAGGATTGATTGACATATTCAATTGTTTTCGGTCACTTCCGGTTTCACCGGAAATGACTGCAACTTTTGATTTTTAAATCGCACCCTCGGTATTTTTTACTTTATTTGGTAGAAAATGATACTCTGAATAGAATGACATATGACATGTCAACTTTTGACATTTTCGCATATGGTTTATTTGAAATTGTAATATGCGGTTCATAACGACAATTTGACTCGAAGTACCAAGTGTGAGATATCAAATTATTCGTAAAAAAATTCTTTTTCGAAATCTGCTAATGATCCACCCTCGTTCCATTTGAAAAAATTGAGATATGATCAAAAATGGGCATCTTTTAACCGGCCAGGGCAAGACACTAAAAACATTAGACGATCAAATCTATTTTTCCAAGGCTCCTTGAATAAAAATTTGTGTTTTTAACACAGCCATGGCACTCTAGATTGAAATTTAAAATACAATTTGTTTTTAAGGGAATATGTCAAAAGTTGACAAATGATACGTCATTCTATTTAGAATGTTATTTTCTATCGAATAAAGTAAAAAAAATACCTAGGGTGCCATTTAAAAATCAAAAATTGTAGTCATTTCCGGTGAAACAGGAAGTGACAGAAAACAATTGAATACGTCAATCAATCCTAATTTATGTCATATACTAACATGCCAAATCTCATTTTTTTATCTAAATAAATAAAAAAGTAATAGGGGTGAGCCACTTTTGAGACGCACCCGGTATATACGGCGTCGTATAAATTTGCTACCTGCAATGTATGTAGAAAATTCGCTCGGCTTTTTATCGAGTAGGTCACATTAAAATCGCATTTCAATTTATTCACAAATTTATTTCATTCTAGGATCGCTTGCGTTCGTCGCTTGGTACTCGTCACTTGCATCGCTCGTTCATAATCGAGCCATGTCGGTTATTTCAATAATCGAGTACTCGAGCGAATTTTCGCTCGAGTTATCGCATCACTACCGTCGAAACGTTAAATAAAAATAGTATATTATTTCATTTATGTTAAAAACATTGATAAACCGTTTTTCCTGAAATTTGTTACTCTTAAGGTGCGATTTCCTGGCGATGTCTTAACACACTCGGCGACACATTTTAATGCCAAAGCGAATGCCGTAACAGCCCTGAAAGGGTACTTTCCATTAGGTTAACGAGTACTACTGTGGGTACTTCTTATATTCTTATCTACTTTATAGTAGATACAGTAATTTCAACAAATGAGAATTAAAGCTAGGACTTTTTTATGTTAAAAAGGTGCTCTTCATTTAGTTCAAAACGGTTTTTAAAATATTTACGTTTAAATGTTCCGATGCATCGATTTTATATTATTATACTAAAGCTTCAATCTGCATCATATTTTTTACAGGTCAAATATCGATTTCGACCTTACCAAGCATTCAAGAGAACAACACTCTTGAACTCGAGGAAGACTCGAACGAATGTCTATGGAATAACTCGAGTTATATGATGGATAAGGAAGGAAGAGAGTTAGTCACTCTTCTAATGGACAGTCCCAATGGAGAGAAACAATGGCCATATGCCGTATCGGCAACTACACACCAACAAATATCTCCCGATAACAGTTGGTCAAGCGGCGCGTCGGACTGTTGTCACTCTCACGAGCCAGAGACCTGTTCAAAAAGATCGTCTGCCGCCAGCGATGATACGGGTGAATTGCCACAGATCGGAACTGATTTTACAAGAGATTTCTATAGGTAAGGTGTTAGTCAGCATCAGGCCTCATATTACATATATTACATACTCAAATATTCTTTTAATAGTATCAGTTTCCAATGTCTACAATGTTTGTTAAGCATGAATCAAATTCATATCTCTCATAAAATAAAGTGCACGTAACTTAAATATAGATGAAGCAAATGAATGTTTAGTCACCTGATTTAGCTTGACCGCACAGCGTTGCCCACTTTTACATATTTTCTTTTAATCACAGTATTTTAGGAAACAAAAATATATTAATTATAAATAATATAAACAGTTATTATTTACATCGGCAAAACTCACCTCCTTAAGTTACAAAAAGGGCTATTACTAAAGCTACATTCCAAATCAATTCGCTGGCCGAGTGGCACTTCGACGTTAAAGTCGGCACGAAATTAACCATTCACAACAAATTTCAATTCGAATTTTGCGCATGCGTGTTTAAACGTTCTCCTGGCATTTTTTAGGTTAGTTGTTGGTTTTGATTTTGGAAGAGTCAAAATCCGGGACAGTTGTTAATTAAGTTTTCCTAGTTTTTATGTTTAGAAAAATGGAAACAAAAACGTCATTTATTGATGATTTTTTTCTAAAATGTGTCTCAAGCACCCAACACTTTTTCTCGCCATTAATATGGGTCGGACACCCCATTTTTGGGTTTTGGTAAACCCCTTGGTTTTCGGTCAAGCTAATTATTGAGCTGCAACAATAATTGCCGTTTTTTTTTAACAGCAAAGCCACAAGTCCTAATAAAATAAGAATAGCGTCCTTCACCCATTTTTCTTTTAATAATTATTTACTTTTCACAGGAAAATGGCTTGTAACAACGACAAAACAAAATAATTATTAAAATTTAAATGTCAAATTTGTCATAATTGTCAAACGAAAATTCCGTGCTGAAGTGGAAGTTTGCAGCTTGCAAGCTTTCAATCCAACTTCAACTTGCACTCTGGCGTCGAATTTTGTTGTGAATGAGTACACTGAAGTACATAAGATAAGCTTGCGTGCTAAAGTACGACTCGGCCAGCGAATTGATTTAGAATGTAGCTTAACGCTAACGCTTTCCCGTTCAAAATATTCTAGTAAAGTTGTTTTGAGTTTTTGCAACGGCTATTAAGCTATCTTGTACACTTCGTACTAAAAGAGGTCTTCGACTGCAAGGTCTCCTAGTAAAAATGTTTAAGCTTAAAGTATCACAACACACAATTTAAACCAAAAACTCATAATATAATACTAAAGTATCAAAAAGAATGACAATGTCAGGAAATATAAAAATAAATGTGGCATTTTTGTGTGACATTTTTTACAGCAGAGATACCACCTGAATCCCTAGCGGGAAATTTAAATTCCAGTTAGTCAGCCTGGCTCTGAATAGGTTGGCAACAATGAATTTAAAATTCGCGCCCTCGATTATGTAACTGAAGTTTAATTGGTATCGCTTTTATGTATATAAATTTATTGAAGCCTTGAAGAATTACAAATTGATTTACAAGGAGTAGACAAATTCGTATTCTTGTCCTTATATGTATAGTTCCTTTTGTATCTGAAGTGTAAAATGCTACTTTTCTGATCAAGAATGTAATTATTCAAACCATCATTAATTGTTGCAATTATAAAGATTTGTTAATATAAGTAAACTGGTTAATCTAATGTAGAATATATGACTTAGAACGATCCTAAAATCCTCCAAATCATTTTCTTTCGAAATAAACACAGAAATAAGTGTCACTTTGCAAATTGTTTGGTTTGGTCAATCTCTTGCTATATTCTTTGATTGTCAAAGGGCAAATCATTTTTTAACGTTTGTAAAAAAAATAGACGGTACTGTTTTAAATTATATACACCCATCACAAAGATATAAAGTCTCTCCAGCAAGAAAATGTACTGTTCTGACAGACAGCCATCGTAAACTTTACAGAAAAAAAATTAACTTTAAATTAAAATGACAGACAACTTTCACTGTCATATATTCTTTAGTTGGATAGACACTGCCAATTTTAACACAAAAATCTAACGAATGTACTTAGTATCGATAAATCTTTCGCCAAGAAAATACACTATATATCGTCCTATTGCTGCCAAAAGTCACTAACTAACATTTTTCCGAACAACCAAATTTAATCACTAACTATGTTTTGAATCGGAGAATCGATTGCAAAAGTCATTAACTACGATTTCTGGCTATTTATGTGTTATTTTAATACCGAATAGTTACTATCTATAACATCTTTATGCAATGCAATTCTTCTTTAGACGCATTTTTCTCGGAAGTAATAAAAAGTTAGTTAGTGACTTTTGGCAGCAATGGGACGATATCAAGTAACAATGATTAACGATATTTTACCAGGTCTATTATATGCATTAAAGGGAAAGGTATCCATACTGTAGGGCCCTAATCCCTGCAGATGAAAATTTCAATAATAAATAGGTTCCTCCTCTCAATTACCACGACGTTATTAGACTTATGTAATTTTATTTTTTACAGATTAGTAAAATTCGAAAGTACAAAAAGTTTAGCTTCAACATCATCAAGAAGTATCGGTGGAGCATTAAGCGAGAACGGCGACAGAGATACTGCTCTACAAAACGTACTAACCTTTATTGCAGAGCAACAGAAATGTGCCCAGTGTAAAGATAGGCCACGCTCGGTAAATGATATTACCAAAGATTTTAATATCGAAGCTCCTCCTCAGAATTTAGAAGATATTAAAAACACTGGAAGCGATTACAGCATCCCAAAAAGTGATTCTAAATTGAGCGACAACGAAAACTACGTAACGTTAAAACAGTTATGTGAAGAGTACGAACAAAAAGAAAAAGAAAAGGAAGCTGAGAAAGCTGAAAACCTGAACGAAAACAATATTTCGGATAAATTATCATATGCCGAAGAAGTTTGGGAAGCAACTTCTTTGGATATAGAAAGTGAAAATTGTTCGAATATCGGAGAACATCCGGTAGATATTTGCAGAAGCGTAGATGTAGAATTATCCTCCATAGATTACCAAAGTAGTGTACTACAAAACAATAAAGCTCGTGATAAAGCTCATAACGCGGAAGCGACTGTAGATAGTGATAATATAGTTTTAAACAGTAGTGATTTAATCAAATCAACGGACACAAATTGTAGTGATATTTCTGCCAATAATTGTACAAGTGAATCGTTGACTTCCAGTGTTAGTACTCCGGAAACGGTTGTGTCGAAAATTCCGCGACGAAAAACTCCTTCCAGAATTCCAGTAAGCCCGGCCAGAGTTATACTGAACAACAACAATAACAGAGAGAACTTGCAAGAGACGAAATTACCAAAGAGCAAAATACCCCATAAAAGCAATAAACCAAAACCTAAGGTAAGTGCTTTTGGCGATTATCTTTTTCTTTCCAAATTGTTTACTCCCTTAATTACATGTTTTATTATCAAATGTAGACGTTTTCTTTGTACTACTTGTTATCTTTTCACTCAGATTTTTTAAGGTGTTAAAATATAAAATACAGGGTGAGTCTTAAATAAGTGCAAATATTTTCAGGGCTGGTAGATCTTGATAAAAGAAACATATTTGCTCTTTACCGTTTTTCAAATAATTCTAACATAACCAAGTTATTTTACTTTGAAAATTTAAAAACAATAATTATTAGATTAAATTTTGAGAACCACTTAATCTTTTCTAGATTTTTTTTCTTGTAAATTTAATATACTACCTATGTTGCCATATCATCAAGAACTATGTTTTTTAACTTAAGATTAAAACATTTTCAACATTTTTTTTTCAAAAATTAGAAATTTTCAAAAAAAAACTCATAGACTTGTTTCTGGGATTGAAATATACTACACTTAAAAATATTTGCAGTTATTTAAGACTCACCCTGTATAACCTATTTTATATTTCAACTCCTTAAATTTGTTGGTTAAGTAAAACCTTCAAGAGTCATTAAGTAGTAATAATAATTAAATTTTATTAAAAAATATTTTCTAATAAAAATAGAGTAACGTAATTATACATGATAGTCCGAACTGTATTTCGGAAACTTTTTTTGGCAGCATATTCTGCAGATAAAAATAAATAAAAAAGTTCGTATAAATGTATGTCTTAAAATGCTTAGTGCCTGGGAGTTTTTTAGCATGAGAAATTTGGTTTTGATGTCAATATGACTCCTACCTGTAGAGGGCTCCACCTACATATTTTTTAACTGGTTTGAAGTGTAATAACTTTTCGTCCATACCTGTATAAAACTAATGAGTAAAAAAATATATAAATTTGCAACGTTTTTTACGTAAAAAAGGTCTCTAAAAAGGTTAAAAACCGGTACGAGTAATGGTGCTCGAAATATTTGGAATCGAAATTATCAATACCTATCATCATTGACATAAATTAAACATGCTAACTATGTAAGTAGTTATTAGACTCATAAATTCGAAATGTTTTAGTGTCAAAAGTTTAACAGAAACTGCTTTATCATCATTTTTTCGCAGAAAAATTTATGATTAATTTAAAAAAATTAAAATTTCCCAAATGTATTATTTCAGTCAAATAACTATCTACTCAACGTGTTTATTTTTTGTCAATAATGACATGTATTGACTATTTGCATTTTAAATATCTTCAAGAATGTGAGTTGCTCGTAGCGATTTTTATCAAGAGACATTTTTTACGTAAAAAGTCACGAAAATGCATATTTTTTCACTCAGTAGTTTTATACAGGTACGGACGAGAGAGAACAGTTATTACTCTTCAAAACAGTTAAAACACATGTAGTTGGCGCCCCCTACAAATAGCAGTCATATTGACATAAAAACAAATTTCTCATGTTAAAAAAACCCAGACATCAAGTTTCATCCAAATATTGACGTTCCTTCAGAAATTATTTGGAAAAAATCGAAATAATAATAAAACTTCTTCAACCTGCATCTCGGAAACTAGTCATTTTATAGGACATATTATATGCTGCCGAAGTTTCCGGAACACAGTTCGGCCCACCCTGTATAATAACAACAAAATTATTTTTGGCAAGTTGTCATTAATGCCAGAATAAAAAATAATCAATTAATTCAACAAAACATGTCTTCATTGAAGTCCTTCCATTATGTTTCATACTTTTAGTCAATAACCGGACTCTATCTGCGATTCACAATAATCTGACTGAAATTCAAGTCCTGACAAATTCCACCAAAATTAAAATAAGCATAGAACCGCATCAAATTACTTACAATATACTTATTGTATTCTAGAAAATTGTTCACGTTCATCAAAACAACTCACCTCAACATATTATAACTGCCGAAAAATTGCCTCAAAGTACCTCAGGTGTCATTAGCAACATCATACAGGGACCTCCGCATAGAGCGGTCAGTTTTCACGAGAGAGCTACCTCAAAAGATGTGATCGACGAGTTGAATCGTATGATCAAAAACGGAGATGAAAACGCACCTTCCGATACCAATGAACAAGCTCAAAGCTCAAAATTGGACCAAGCCTGTAGACCTACCGGATGGATTCATGTAGAAAAGGATATCGACTTAACTGATCCAAAGGTAATCAAACTATAATTCAAAACTTTTATCAATATCTAATATGTATATAATTTATACTAAATAATAATAAAATGAAATACAGACTTTATTTTCAAGAATTTTGGACGCGCGTTTCGCCAACCTTGTTAGTAATCATGACCAAACATCTAAAGCTCCATATACTGGGTGTGTCTCAAAAGTGGCTCATCCCTATAAATGTTTGGGCTTTTCCAAGGCTCCTGTGATTAAAAATTATCGTATTTCAATCTAGAGTGGCTGTGTTTTTAACACATCCATGGCACTCTAGGTTGAAATTTAAAATACGTTTTTTAAGCGAAAATGTCAAAAGTTGACATGTGTTATCTCATTTTATTCAGAGTGATTAATCTATCGTCTTGTCTCTTTCTATCGAATAAAGTAAAAAAATACTAAAGGTGCCATTTAAAAATCAAAAGTTGTAGTAATTTCCAGTGAAACAGAAAGTGAGTGAAAACAATTGAATACGTCAATCAATCCTAATTTATGTCATATACTAACGTACCAAATTTTTTTTTTATCTGAAGAAAATAAAAAAGTTATACGATTGAGCCACTTTTGAGAAACACCCAGTATAGTTTTAACCAATTGCTGATGATACAACGATGATTGGAGAAAAGCGCGCCCGTTGATAAAAAAAAGGGTTTTCTTGTACCATGACAATATTTTACATTTTTAAAAAAAAACTGTAGTATTACTTGTTATATAACTGGCATTGTAATAATTGAATGTATACTATAGGCACGAGCAAATTTACTAGACGTTATGATGGCCTCAGTATCCAGTGACTCTTCGCCCACATCTTCGTGTGGTGATAGTATCGCAGGCGACTCTCCCGAAGATCCTCCCGATTACGGACATCTTCATAAAATCCACAAATATCACAGACAGAAGAAAGGTAAAAATGCTTCTCATTTTTATGTTTTCATTATACCTATTTCAAATCAACTCATCTTTTTTAATACAAGATAATCAAAATATTTTGGACTAATTTGTAAATGTGCGTCAAGCAGCACATCTCTGAATCTAGAAATTCAGATGTAATTCAAAACATCCTGTATTATTATTATTGTAACGTGTAACCTATTTATTGAATTTGTCACAAACACTATAACCAACCTTCAGTAACTTCATAGATAAATGCAACAAGTTTATATTGGAAAGCCCGTAAAAATTTTAGGTCACGAAATTATTTTGGGTCGCGACCGTTATACGCGATCTGGCGCTGCTATAGCGGTTGCTAAGAACAACGGCAAACAAAAACAGAAATAATTTTCTCTTGTCAAAGTTAATCTTCAAAAATCATAATAATCTTTCAAAATCCAAACCGCTCTCATTAAAGAAATTCCGAAAAGTGTTTATAGCGTCCATTTTCAAAGTAATAATTGCTATCTAGTGAGTTTAATTCAAGTTTTATATACTCCAACCGGTGATAATTGTGAAAAAGTGGCATTAAAAGCTTAAAAAGCTGTGCTGTGAACTGTGAACTGGAAAAACCATCGTGGATCGTGGCATAACGTCGGTTTCCAATGTTTCATAGGTATTTCATACATGCGTCCTTATATAAAATAAAGTTTCTTGTATGTAACACACTGTCTTTTATTTATAAAATTAAACGAAAATAATAATAAATTTGAATAAACAATATTTGGCGATATAATTCCGAAAAAAGCCGAACCGCTCCGAAATTTTCAAAAGATTTGGGTCGCGACCGTTGCAAGGATAGCGCCAAATAGTGTTTACATTGTCCTTATGGGCACTTTCCAATCTAAACTTGTTTCATTTATCTATGAGTAACTTTAATAAAACTGTAAAACTGAAGGAATTCAAGAGTTTGTAGATTCAGAGAAATATCATCAATATAGAAATTAATACTTCTATAAACAGCAACAACATCCATATTTATCTCTTTAGTTTTTTTATGGTGTCATAAAGTTCAGTCTGAATATTTTTGTTTTAACCTCGATGCACTTTTAGCCACAAGCTAATTTAAAGGACATTAAAAGCCGTAGAACAATAAATAAATTCTAAATTTTGACTTGAAAAAAAAATTATAGAACTGAAAATATTAGATGTTTTAAAATTATTTAATAAAGTTCATTTGTATTAACTGTTTTAAAGGGTGTGGCAGAGAAATCTTACAGTTGCTGGATAAACAATGAAGATGATATCTATTTTTTATTAACAGGCAACTTAATTGTGTAGTAACTAATGTTGGATCACATTGTACAATAAATTATGAGACTTAAAGTGATTTTAAGTCATCATAGTGATCTAAGTGATTTTAAGTCATCAGTAATCATAGTGAAATAAAATCTAGATGCATCCTCTGTTGTATTTCTCATTGCATACATCTTGAGATATGGTTTTATAAGCCCTCTTTTGGACTACTGAAAACTGAAAATATCGAAATTCGCTATTTAAGAATTCAAACCTTTAGCTCTAGCTCATCACCAGTAACTCAAAATATGCTGCTAAAAGACAAAGTTTAATTTAGTTACTTAATGTCAGAGAGTTTTGAACAACAGAAATTAGAAAAATAGGTATATAAAGACTAAGGTCTCCACAGAAATCACAAATCTATCTTTACCTAATAATTAAATTAATATAGTAAGACAGAATAAATTCATAGTCAACTATTAATAATTTAACTGTTAACTATAATGAAGTAATATGAAGTTTGTCAATGGGAATAAAGCCGTCCCTTTAGATTTTTCTGAGACGTCATTATTTTTGTCAGTTAACGAAATGGATCCTAATGGCTTACATTTACTCACATTTTTGTTATCTTCTTTTAAATACTATCTAATTTTAAACACGATATAATAAATAAACAATATGATCAAAATGACATTTACAATAATAACTAACGATTATATTTTTACAAATTGTAAGTTTTGGGTTTGTTGAAGGACTATTAGAGCTACAATTTAAAAATATTTTTACAAGATACAGAGTGTCCCGAATAAAAAAAAAAATATCAAAGTTGTATTTTTTTAAATGGAACACCCTGTATATTATTACATTTTTAGTTTCTACGATTAAAATAAAGGTAAATTCGATTAAGGTTTATTACACTTAAACCTTACCGTTTTTGAAATATTTTCAATTTTGTGAAATTGCAGTATAAATTTTAAGGCTTCATTTCTCCGAGGGTATCAAAGTTTTTAATACTAAATATTTACTGAAGTTTACTTATTGATCATTTATTATGTTACAATAATAAAAATTTTACTACCTTATACAGAGTGTCTAAATATTTATTTTAAATAATTACTAGCTTTAAACGGCAATAACTTGTTTAATTTAAATGGCAACACCCTGTATATTTTATGAGAATCAGATGCACAATTTAATTGTCTATCAAATTGTATTATACCATTTTTACCTATCTCTATTTTCTTGTAATTTAGAACTCATTTATCAATATACCCATGGGATACTGACATTTTAGATTATTTTTAACGATGTACCAAATTTTTAATGAGTACAGATACTAATCGATATAGTTCGTTTATTTCATTAAAAAATAAAAAAAACTGTTTAAATAAGAGGACCAATTAATATGATTCCAGTATTCAAACTACATTGACTGTTTGCGTTGATTAATAATAATTGTTGCTCCAAATACTAAAAAACTGAATTATGTATGTGTATTAGACAGTGTAGTAAAAAAACTAACACCTTAAAAATGATATTTCATTTTTTGACAAATGCTTATTTTTAACAACAGAGACTTTCATTTTCATAACTTATTATTATATTGATTTCTGATTCAAATCCACATTTATTTAGAATAATTTATTAACGAACACAATTAAGTATGTAATTAATTAGTATTTGGGCGAAAATACTGGTGGTATATTTAATTAATGGTATACTCTTTTATAAAGATTTAAATAGTTTTCTTTTTGCATACAAATGGGTTAGAAATATTATCGTTTTACTAAAAACGATAATATTACTAACCTGTACATTTTGTACATGTGTTGTTTTAAAAACAATATAAAATGTCAATATTCAATGGGTATATTGATAAATGAGGTCTAAATTATGAGAAAATGCATTTTCTACGAAAACTTGAAGGGATAGGTAAAAAGTGGTATAATACAATTTGATAGACAACTGTGCATCTGATTCTCATAAAATATACAGGAGTGTTCCATGTAAATTAAACAAGTTATTGCCGTTTAAAGCTAGTAATTATTTAAAATAAATTTTTAGACACTCTGTATAAGGTAGTATAATTTTTATTATTGCAACACAATAACTGATTTATAACTAAGAATTTATTTTGAATTTTAGCGCGTCAACTGTATATTTATAACTGCCCTCTCTAGGCCACTGCCGCCGGCTTTTATACCGACAGGTAAAAGAAATCTAGAATAGTCCAAAGATCGTTAGGCGCATAGAGAAGGTTTTCGAATGTTCTCGTATGTACGAGTCCATTCTATTGGGTCTCGATTCTTCTCGAACGAATGAATCATTGCGGTGTCTATGCGATGTTAAGGTCATCCGAGGGCGGGCCATATTGTGAGGTTAGGTCGAGTCCACACCGGCTCGCAACAGTATCTTGTAAAAATATTTTTAAATTGTAGCTCTAATAGTCCTTCAACGAACCCAAAACTTACATTTTGTAAAAATCTAATCGTTTAGCTACAATACTCCGTGTCGTATGTGGTGAACAACCCTGTATATGTAAGTTACGACAAATTGGCATAAAAAATTATCAGGATTAATATGTAATTTAGAAAAAAAAAAGTTACAGATCAAAATATATTTTCAAAAAATATTTTACTGAATAGAAATGCATGTGAATGGATGCCGTGTTTGGAAAGTTTTTACATCTTTTTATGAAATGATTCAAATGTTTGAAAGTTTTTACAAGTTTAATGTCAATTTTTAATAAACGATATACCGGGTACGTCGCAAAAATGGCTCACCCCTATAACTTTTTTATTTTTTCAAAAAAACGAGATTTGTTATGTTAGTGTATTCAATTATTTTCGGTCACTTCCTATTTCACCGGAAATGACTACAAATTTTGATTTTTAAATGTCACCATCGGTATTTTTTTAATTTATTCGATAGAAAATGACACTCTGAATATAATGAGATATCATATGTCAACAATCCTAATGTATGTCATATACTAACATACCAAATCTCGATTTCTTATCTGAAAAAGGAAAAAAGTTGTAGGGTGAGCCACTTTTAAGACGCACCCGGTATAAGGTACGGTTTGACAAAATTTTGTCAGCGATTGCCACTTCAAAATACACTGGACTCCGTTTTTTTCATATGGGACAAATTATTTAATTTATAATGTTAAATGCTAATTTAAAATTTTTGTCTATCCTGTAGCTTTATATTTGAAAATATATCAGGATCAGTGTCATATGAATGCTACAAGAAAAAAAAGTTTTTTTCCTGGCAGGTAATAAATAGATAAATAAATTTAACCATTAATTGTGTAACAGGAAAATTCCCAATTTAAAGACAATTTAATTAGTATATTATTTAGAAATGATGTTTAAAAGCATGTGTTCCTCTACTGCATCCTTTATTAGCAAATTAGTTTAATCCAAACATAATATCTAAGTAAATTATTAGTATTTTCTAATCTATCTAAAAAACGGTAACTATTTTTAGTTATCATTTCCTTTACCCTCTATCTTCTCCTCTTAACAATACACAACACCCCGCCTCTCTCATACTGTAATCAAGTACCTCAGTACAAATGTTGGGGATTTTAAAGCTTCTGCCTCGGCACCGTGCACGCCACTGACGGAGACAACTGTGTGAAACGTACAAGCATGTTGTGCCTGCTTGCAGCCAAGGCGTCCAGACCCGGCCTCACACCAGTTGCCGTAGTGAGAGCTTCAGTACCGCCACCTAGACCTACGATCATCGGCCGACCAGACTTCTACGTCCGCTATGGAGAAAAGGAGATGGAGGCAGTGGCGTCGTTCGATTTCTTGAACGAATTCAGCTCGGCCAGCAGTTCGCTCAGCTGCTCTATCGAAGGCAGCTTAGAGGAAGTGGAAGAGATCGCCGAAGTAGACACTGTTCAGGCAGTATCTGCCTCGTCTTCAAGAGCTGTGAGAATTAGCCAGGTCTAAATCAAACCTTTATAATATATTCTACAATATCTGTACTGTAAATGTAAATGTTTAAATGATAATATTGTTAGTTCATATTTATATCATCAGAGAAGAAGGTTTATTGGTTTAATCAACCTCGAATTATGTTACATCTACAGTATACAATCTGATATAAAAATTTGTATTTTATAAAATCTATATTAAAAGTAAAGAGAAACAACTCCTTTATTTCCAAATTTGTTCTAATAATTTTGTTTAACCCTATATCACAATTTTCCACTGGAATTTTAAATCTGGCAATTTGATAAGTGGAAATCAGGAATATGCCTTATACAAAAACGTGTAATAGCAAGATCTCACAAACTTATGGGGGTATTGAAAATATGTCTTCGATTTGTGATATTTCTGATTGCAAATTTTCAAATTGGTCGCCTCTGTCTTTGTGGATACCAAAATTGATTAATAATGAAGTGGTTTAAAATAATCCTCCTTTTTTATTTTCATATTTCATGAGTAAAATTAGTTTATTGCTGGGCATATTATATATGCCTTATTTCGCTTATCAAATTTATATTTTTGTAGGTTTATGCTTTCGACGAATTTGTTCTATTATGTAGTTATTATATTATTCTCAGTTTTGTTTTCACCAATTTTGGCAATCATTTATTAGAATTATTTAACTTCAATATTAATAGTAAAGTTTCAATAAAAAAATCAAAACGTTGTATAGGGAGGTGCATCTTAAAAGGAAACATACACTGCAGGATAATAATAATCAAGCAGGAGAAAATTCGAGAGATTTATTCTATTGCATTAAATATTTATTACAATAAACTAACTTTTAGTAAGTCTGTGCTATTAGAGCAAATATATATTTCAGTGACCTGTAAAATCCATTTGCCACAAGTTCTAACTCACCCTTCCTTCAAAATAAACAACTGGGTTATAATTAACTGCCCTATATTTTTACTCACAGTGATATCATATGTGTCAAATACATAAGCGATTAAAATATCTTAATATACTCTGTATCTACTTTATCAAAAGAATCAATCAAAACTGTCAAAGGTAGAAATGGATATAAGTATTTACTATATTTTCATTTGCTGTATAGTTTTTTTTTCAGTATAACACATTTTTATGTAATTATATTAATTATGTACGAGTGCGCTAAACAATACACTTTAGAATTATTTATTTTATTTGTAGATGTGTAAAGTTTATTAGTAACTTTAAGAGAAGAATTTTGTAAAAAAATATTTATTATTTATATCGAAATTAATAACAGAAAAACACTGTTCAATCCGTTAAAATACAACAAGTTTAGTCATAGGTTCTGTAAATATTGATTACGACTTTTAATAAACGAAGTCCTTAGCATTAATCAAATAAACGAATTATAGATGTGTAGTACAGTTCATGTACAATGTGATATAATGTGAAATAGATACTGTTTCGCATACAAAGGATAAAAATGAATCAAACAAAATGTCAAAGAAAGACATAAGTATTACATAAAAATGCAAGTGCGTTTTTATTACCATACACTGTAAATTTGACCTACGATAAAAATTTCAGACGAAACGCCTAAAATTTAACAATATAGGTACTTAGAGATCCTACAGTATGTATTTAATAATAACCATTTTCCATCGTTAAGCAATCACTTACTGAGAAAAAGTTTGTTTTACAATTTACAATGTAATGATGTCCATAACTAAACTGTGTGTAGAGTGATGTATTTTTATATAGGGTACTTATATATTTAGTACAAATCTAGTTCGTAAATAAAATATTATCTTTACTATGCATTTTTATTTTTACAACCATTATTTTTTTATTTTCGAAACTGTTATTCTTTGGAAGGAACAACTTTTGAAAACTGATAATATTTCCGAAAATATTGGAATAAAATGCTGATATTCCAAATATCTTATTGATTGTCAATATAGTTTAAAAATTTATTCTGAATATATAGACTAAGAGCTAGCAACGTTTTCGAGAAAGTATTTTAAGACGTCTGGCTCTTTGATATATCTTTTACTATGCTCTCTGGAACAGAATGCGGCCCGTCTGGCTGCCGATATCCGTTGCGTTTACTACTGCGCATCGAAAGAAGATCCTATATTTTTTATTAATTTAGTCCTATAAATTCTAGTATTGAATATAAATCAAACATATCTCCATAGCGCAGTGCGTAAGTTTGCGACCACGAACCAGCCGTGCCTTCGATACAGTCTGGCACAACGGGTTGCTCTACAAATTGGCGTTCATCCACGACTTTCCCCCATTCCTAGTCAATATAATAAAATCGTACCTTCAAGATCGCGTCATAAAAACTGGAGTAGACGGGTCCTACTCTATATAACGCAACATCAAAGCGGGTGTTCCTCAGGGAACCGTACTTTCGCCTACCCTGTTTAATTATTACACCTCCGATATACCAACTTTCCCTAGGTCACAAACTACCATGTTTGCCGACGATGTATTACTTTAAGCCCACTCTCATCATGTAAACGCCGCAAGGCAACTTCTAACGTACAATTTAAACAAATTAGTACCATGGTACGAATCCTGGAAGCTTAAATTAAACAGGGATAAATGCGAATGTGCGGTAATAACCAAAAAACGTAAGGATGTGAATATAAACATACCCCTCAAAATTAACGAAGACGTCATACCTAGGCGTCATCCTAGATAGGGGCCTATCCTTTGGAAACATCATGCTCGGCATGCAGGCCATGTATACCCTAATAGCGCCCAGATCATCCCTCACACCGGAAAATAAAAGAATAATCTATAAACAAATCATTAGGCCAGTCATAACATTTGCCGCCCCCGTCTGGAGCGGTATTTCCGACAAACAAATAGGTAGACTTCAAGTTTTACAAAATAAGGCACTTAGATGCATACACGGAGCCCCGCGCTACACAATCATTCGAGATCTACATATCCAAACGAACATGCCATTAATAAAAGATTATATAACTGAACTCGCAAACAAGTTCTTTCTTTATAAAATTCAGGCTTCACCCCTAACAGAAAGTTTAACCTCAATTAGGCAAATCCATCAAGTAACACATAAAAACCAATTTATGCAAGAACTCCAATATATTTAGACCCACCATAATACAAAAACAAAATAATAATAAAAAATTTTATATCAACATTAGAATTTTTAGAATTTAGAATGAGTGGGAGGGGGGTTAATCACTGCGACCTTACAGATCCATTGTATCCCCCTTTCTTGAGTCATAACTCATCATCCAGTCCCAGGGCTTTGACAAAAGCCAGTATCTGGGACGGTTTTATAGAGGGTAGTTCTCCATCTCCAATATCAGTCGTACCAAAATTCATGGCACGAATGGTTGTCGTCTCGGCGCACTCGGTGATGAGGTGTACTGGTGTTTCCCCATCTTCCCCACAGAATCTGCATTCGCCGTTTCTTCTTAGTTTCAATCTACTGAGGTGTTCATTGAGGAGACAGTGTCCTGTTAAAAACCCCGTGACAATCCGAAGATTGTTCTTACTTAAACCCAGGAAGATCTGTGATTTTTCTTGATCATAAGCCCTCAGAAACTTCTTCGAGTGTCTTAGACCGTTGCAAGATTTCCATTCAAGGTTGCGAATGGAATCTTCCAAGTTCTTGAGTTCCGCCTTGAGTTGGTTACCACTTGGAAAGCAGAACGGTTCTGGCCTAGTTAGTGGAGTGTTCGCTCCTTTCCTAGCTAGATTATTTGCTTTTTCATTGCCTTCTATCCCTTGGTGAGCAGGCACCCAGAGTAGGAGGACTTATAATATAATATTTAAATATATATATATATATATATATATATATATATATATATATATATATATATATATATATATATATATATATATATATATATATATATATATATATATATATATATATATATATATATATATATATATATATATATATATATATATATATATATATTAAGGACTTATAATTAATAATATTAACATTACATAAAATAATATATAAAACATCAAAAATCCGTGATCAGAGCTACATTATTTTAACCAATATACAAATATACAAAAAATAGATAAATAAATACCCATATGAATAAATTAAATCCAAATCAAATTAAATATTACTTCAAAATAAAAACTGCCATCCAATGGCAATAACACTTTTTCTAGTCTTAATATAAACTCGGGTTTTTTAAGTCGCATTTCTTCCCGAGAATGCAAATAAAAAATCTTTAAAAAATTAGCAGAAACGTTCAAGTTTTGTCAAGTTAAGCGAAAGCAATAATAAAAACAAAATAAACATGAAAGTCGTACGCTGACGGACCTCGTTTCAAATATATCTTTTCTTTTCACATTGTATAAGCTTATAAATTAGGTTAAGATAAACCGCAATAGTCGCGTTCATCAGGACGTAGCGCTACCGCAGCGATCACTAATTTTCTGCTGAACGCGCCGATTAGTTGTGAGCGCTCTGGGATCAGTCGCCATTTTTTCCATCAGATTTAAAATACGCTACGCTACCGATGCATGATGGATTAAACGTCACATACGCCAAATGTCACAAAATGTTTTGGAAAACGAAAACAAAGCATTTTGTTTATTGTTCTCGGTTGACTAATCTCCTCGATTTGTGCCAAAAATGGGTGAAAACAATTTAATATGCATTACTTATGATTTTGATCTAAAAAGCACGTTCAGCAGGACAACCAATCGATGGTACATCGCTCACTGATCAACTTGTCCTGATGAACGCGACCAATTATTTAGTGAAATAATTGTTTACTGTGACAACTAACGGCCATGTGGCCATAGAGTTGCTTGCCACCATGCGACAATATTATTATATACGCTGCAATGTAACTAAAACTGGTAATTAATAAAGACTGTTTGAAATTGAAATTGACGAACCGATGATTCAGAGTTCGATTCCGAGTCAGGTCAAAGACTTTTTTATTTTATTTTCGTATATATTCTGATAGCAAAGTATTAAATAATTCTGGTAATTAAAAACAGATATTTAATACTTTACTATCAGAATATAAACGATAATAAAATAAAAAAAGTCTTTGTCTTGACCCAGATTCGAACTCTGAATCATCGGTTCGTGCTCGGAAACTCTATGCACTGCACTATGAGGTCTGTTTCCAGAAGAATTCCTGACTAGTCAGCACGTTTCTCATTGGTTAAAATGCATAGAAACCTGATTGTTAGTCTGGTTTCTACACATTTCAACCAATAAGAAACGCGCTGACTAGTCAGGGATTCTTCTGGGAACAGGGCCATGGAGACATGTTCGATTAAATTCAATACTAGAATTTAAAGGACTAATAAAAATATAGGATTTTCTTTCAATGCGCAGTAGGGAACGCAACGTTTATGAATCATCGGTTCGTGGTCGGAAACTCTATGCACTGCACTATGAGGTCTGTTTCCAGAAGAATTCCTGACTAGTCAGCACGTTTCTCATTGGTTAAAATGCATAGAAACCTGATTGTTAGTCTGGTTTCTACACATTTCAACCAATAAGAAACGCGCTGACTAGTCAGGGATTCTTCTGGGAACAGGGCCATGGAGACAGGTTCGATTAAATTCAATACTAGAATTTAAAGGACTAATAAAAATATGGGATCTTCTTTCAATGCGCAGTAGGGAACGCAACGTTTACCGTCAGATAGACGGGCCCCGTGCTGTTCTAGAGAGCATATATAGTAAAATATATATCAAAGAGCCAGACGTCTTAAAATACTTGTTTTACCGACGCGCGAGGTTGCTAGCTCTCGTACTAATATTAGCAATAGCAATTAATTTTGCCACAGAGGTGTATAATTTACCCCAATACCGACGGAATTTAACATTTTTTAGGCAATTGGAAGTAAAACTTTGATGTTTTTTTATAAACAATTTATTATTTACAAGAATTATAACATCATCGTACTACCATTTTCTCCAAGCTTACTGAGACCTTTATTCTTCATTTGATTTTTTTTTATTAAAATTAAACAAGCAATGTTACAAAAAAAAAGAATTACTTTTATAAATAAATCACAATGTTTTCTTAATAATTAATAACAATGTATATTCAATCAATTACTAAGTTCACAATAAAATATAATAATAAAATAAAATTGAATTATAGTCACTTCCACATTTTTGTATGTAATCATAAAACAATAATGTGCCTTTTAAAGTTAGATTTAACAATGTAAAAAGTCTCTAAATATTTATCTAGAATTACAAAGACAAATCAAGCTATAAGCATTTTTTTGCAAACACGTCTAAAGGAACAATGACAAAAATGTTTTGCTACAGATTTCTGTTACCAAATAAAAACGCAAGAATAAAAATAAAAAATTAAGCAATTGTTTTGAAATTTGGTCTCTTGAAAAACCCAATGGCAATAAAACTATCGTTACTATCAGCAATGTCTCATTCTTCTATTCGTTTTCGACTAGTTGTGTATCTTGAGGTAGGCATCGACGAAAAGATCGAGTTCATGTGACAAGTAGTTTGCCTTATTTCTCAAAACCTTAAAAAAATAATTCTATCTAAATTGTACTTTACAATAATGCACGTACGGGTCTTAAGTACGTCGGATTTTTAAAATTTTCTATACAGAATTGATAAGAGGGACACTTATAACAGGGAGGGACATTTTCTGACGAAAAAAGCGCGAATTGTCCATAAATAACCCCAAAATCAAACTCACAAAAAAAGGTTGAAAACAAAGCAATTAAAACTCAAATTACAGTTACAGCGGATGCTTCTATAGCTTTATGATCCTCTTCTCTACCTTTAACACGGA